CCCCCCGCCGCCGCTGAGCCTGGCCCGCCGCCGCGGCCTCCCCCGGCGGCGCCGCCCGCCCCGGGCTGCCGCAGCGCCGCGATGGAGACGGCGGAGAAGGAGTGCGGAGCCCTCGGCGGCCTCTTCCAAGCCATCATCAACGACATGAAGGTAAGGGGTTCCGCCGTCGTGACAGCGCTCAACCATCCCCACCACCGCCTCCCCGCGCCGCCGCCACCCCCGTGCCGCTCCCCCCGGGCAGCCCCCGTAGTGGTCCCCCGTGGTAGGTACCGGGTTCAGCCCCGGGATGGGGATTGGAACCCCGCGTCGGGTGTTGGAGCCCAAGCATCAGAGCCGCAGCGGGTGTCAGGGTCCCACATCGGCTGTAGGAGCCTGGCGCGGGGTGCCGGAGCCTCTCATCAGCCCCATGCTGGGCATCGGGACCCCGTGCTGGGCATCGAAGCCCCGGGCATTGCAGCCTCACATGAGCCCTATATCCGTCATCTGATATTGGAGCCCCATCCTGGAGATTGCAGCCCCACATTAGCCCCGGATCCGTCACTGGATATTGGAGCTCCCTCCATCCTGGGTGTTGCAGCCCCACATCAGCCCTGTTATCCATTATCGGGTATCAGCGCCCCATGTCAGGCATCGAGGTCTCACATCGGGTGTCTGAGCATGGCACTGGGTGCCAGAGCCCCACATCGGGGCCCTGCGTTGGGCACTGGAGCCCACGCTGGGGATCGTGGCTCCGGATCAGCCCCGGGTGCCAGAGCCCCATGTCGGGTAGCACAGACCAGGCATCGCTGCCCCTGACCGGGTGCCACCGGCCCCACATCGGGCATCGCCGCCCGTTTCAGGCATCGCGTGTCCCCTGCCACCCCCCGCTCCCAGCCTGGATTTCTGCCGGATCCACTGGGGTTGACACCAATGGAACAAAAAGGTCCCCCGGCTCCTCAATCCCATTTCCCAACCCGGGGAGGGGACATCGCCTCCACCCTCCCTGGGAGCAGGATGAGGCCATGTTTTAAAAAAGCCTCTTTTTTTGTTTGTTTTCGTTTCAAGAAATAAAAATAAAAAATGCTGGGGGGCATTTCTGACTGGGGGCTGAGCAGGGAGGAGGCGACCAGCCGTGTTGCTTCACCTGGGGGGGCCGAAATTCCCACTGCCAGCTCCAGCACTGAGGTTTAGCCTCAGTCATTTTTGGGAGGCAAAAGCTCTCTTCCTCCTCCTCCTCCTCCTCCTCCTCCTCCTCCTCCTCTTCCTCTCTTCATGCTGCAGACCCGTCCAGACAATGCTGTCATTGCCAAAGCAGGGGAGGGGGGATAAAAAAAAAATAAAAGCCTTGCTGGGAAGGAGATTAACCCCTTCGAGGGGCGGTGGTGGCTCCGCAGCCGGACTCTGGCTCTGGGCCGGGAGAAAAGCTCTAGGGAGAAAATCCCGTCTCTCCCCAAGGCAGCAGGATCCGGGGCTGGTGAGGTGATCAGCTCCCTCCTTAAAATGCCTTCACCCCAGCCTCCCTCTCCAGGCAGCCTGGCTGAGTCCTACACCCCCAGGGGGGAGGTGGGGGCAGCCCGTGCCTCGGTTTCCCCATTCCCCTGCTGGAGGGGATGAGCCAGCCTGGAGCTGCCACCTCCCAGTGACATGCCCAGCACCATCAGGATGTGGTTGGACTGGGAACCCCTCACCCAAGGAAACCGGCCTGGATTCAATTTCACGCCATTTCTAGGTGGGAAAGGTGAAAGAAAAATGATGAAAAAGAAGGAAAACCCCACCATGCTACAGCTGGGGCTCAGCTCGTGCCCTGCACAGCCCCAGCCAAGCGCCGGTGGCACCTTAAGGTGCCTTGTCCCCATCTCCCAGCCACGTGGGTGGCCTGGCACGGGCACTGGGGGACAAATAACTCCCTCCCTCAAGAACTGCAACGTTGAAGGGCAGCAATGTGCTTGGGGTCCTGTGGCTGGGACTCCTGCCCAGGACACAGGAGGGCAGAGGGACCTTATTTTGGTGGTGGGTGGCTTTTTCAGCACCCCTTGGCCTGTGGTGAGAAGGACTCTCTTGGTGGCAGTCCCCAAGCCAGCTTCATTCCTGTTGCCTCTTTTCCCGCGTGCTCGGCGTCCCTGGGTGACCTTGGCATGTCCTTGTCCCCGTTGTCCTCTTCCCCATCCTCCTCTTGCCTGGCATCGCAGGGGACTGGGGGCATCAGGACCTGCTCCCTTGCTGCAGGGGAGCCTCACTGGCCTTGCTCAGGATGGCCATGGAAGGTGGCCCAGGGACAGTGGCAATGGCAGCCCCCAGCGACCCACAGCCAGGGCGCTGCCACAAGTGATAGGTGAGGTGGCACCCTCAAACCTCTTCTTTGCTGACTCATGAGGAAATTGGGGCTTTCACAGTCCCCAGAAAACAATGTCGGGCTGTTCCCGTGACACCTCGGTGCAAACCTTGTCCCCAGAGCTGCCACCAAGCCAGAGTGCCCGTGGGGATGTGTGGTGGCCCACGTCCTGCAAGGCTGGCTCTGGTGTCCGTGTCCCAGCCTGGTGGCTACCTCGGGGGGGTTTGCAGGCCCCTGGCACTCCCATGGGGTGGTGGCACCAGGACAGCACCGGGATCTTGTCACTGGGACAACAGCACAGGAACTGACCTTGCTGGGATGGCAGCACCAGCGTGGCTTCACCAGGATGGTGACACCGGGACTGGCTCCACTGGGATGGCTTTGCTGGGATAGTGGCACTGCAACCAGCCTCGCTGTAACAGCACTGGAATGGCCTTGCCAGGATGGTGGCACCTGGATAGCTTCAGTGGAGTGATGGCACCAGGACTGGCCGTGCCAGGCTGGCACTGGGATGGCCTTGCCAAGACAGCACCAGGATTAACCTCACCAGGACAACACTGACTGTCCTCGCTGGGATGGTGGCACTGGGATGGTAACACTGGGATGGCCTCGCTGTATGCTTGCACCAGGATTAGCCTCATTGCAGTGGCACCAGGACTGGCCTTGCTGGGATGGCACTGTGGCTGGCATTACTGGGACAGATCTCAGTGGAATGGCACCAGGATGGTCTTACTGGGACCGGCATCTCTGAGGCATCACTGGGACTGACTTCACTGGCGCCGCGCTGAGATAACCTTGCTGGAATGGTGGCACTGGGACAGCCCTGGGATGGCCTCACTGGATGGTGGCACTAGGACAGCCCTGGAATACCCTCACCACAAAGGCAGTGGGACTGGTCTTGCAGGGATGGCCTTGCTGGAATGGCACTGGGGTGGCCTCCCAAGCACCTGTGCTCTGTCCCTGTCCCCATACAATTGTCCCCAATTCCAACCTCCCCTCCTGCCCCGTTGGCCCTCACGGGCTTGGGAGAGGCGAGGACTGGGGCTGCTGCTGTGGGAATGGAGCCTTCCATGATGGTGGGTTTGGCCATCAGTGCTTTGGGGGAGGCTGCGGGTTCTGGGGGGCTCTGCTCTACTGCTGGCCAGGGTCTTAAAGCTTTTTCCTTTCTTCCTCTCAAATTTCCAAACCCATGAGATGCCTTGAGCCCTGTGAGGAAGAGATCACCCAAGATCCTGAGGTCTCCATGGTCTACAAGTTTGGGTGGCCAGACTGGAAAGGGAAGAAAACAGGAGTGGAAAGGGTTATGCTCAGCCTTTATTAGCCATCAGAGAAGCCCCTGAGCTGCCCTGTCTCTCTGTACCAGTGAAGGGGAGAGCTGCCCTGTGTGGGAGGGGGTGCAGGGAGTCAGAGGCTCTGTCTCTCACCATGGCCCTTCCTCCTTGTTCCTCCTTGCAGAGCTCCTACCCCATCTGGGAGGATTTCAACTCAAAGGCCACCAAGCTGCACTCCCAGCTCAGGTGAGTGGCCAAGGGTGGTGCGGGACGTGGGGGTCCCCTCTCCTTGTGTCACATCCCGGTGTGCCCCACACCTGCTGAGCTCCCCCCTCGCTCTCTCCACCCCAGGACCACGGTGCTGGCTGCAGTCGCCTTCCTGGATGCCTTCCAGAAAGTGGCCGACATGGCCACCAACACCCGAGGTAGGTCCTCTCCCCTAGGGCTGAGTGTCCCCAGGCTTGGCCAGGCAGGGGGACGGGTGGCCAGTGTCCCCTGTGGGGTGTCCCTTGCCCCTGTGACTGGAGTGCACTTCAGTCAGCAGCTCCACCATCCGTGGAGAGATGTCCAACCTGTCCCCACACCAAGGTGGAGCATGCCCTGGGAAACAGGGTTGTAAAGGAGGGGGAGTGGAGGGGTGGGCACCCACGTGGGTGCTGGCTTCTCACCACCCATGGGTGCTTAGCCACGTCTTCTGGTGGGGCTGGGACATTTGGGGTGGCTCAGCCCCACGCCGTGGTCCCCTGCACCCATCCCTGTCCCCCGGGATGCACGAGCCACCCTCCTTGTCCCTGGCACCCACCTGGGAAATTCCCAGGGCGGTCCTGGCCGCTCCAGGTGCCTCCAGGGAAGGGAAATTAACTGGAGGGAGATTCAGGAGTCCAGGCTCGACCGTTTCGTGGACAAACCCCAACCCACCAGGGAAGTGACTGAAGAGCTGAGGGGGCCTCCCCGCTGCTGGGGGGTGGGGGGGAAGGACCCCCGGACCCTCTCCGAGTGCCTGTTGGCAACGAGGAGCCACTTCCCACCGATCGGCTTCTGCCAAGCAGATGGTCCCGGGCTGGTTTGCAGACTGGCGGCATCCAGGCCATCTGGAGCCACGCAAGGAGGAGGAGGAGGAGGAGGAGGCGGCAGCTTGAGCCAGGATCAGCTTTGCCTCCAAACCCACTAGCCCACTGCACTGGGGGGATTAGGTCTCCCCCAGCTCCTACACCAGCCTGGGCACCAAAAGCAAGGAGGGGGGACGGGGGGGTAATGCTGGGAACAGCTGGGGACTGGCACCCCGGGAGTCAGCGTCACCCTGTCATGCTGTTATACCTGCAGGGGTTTTTTTGGGGAGAGTGGGAGAGGCAGAGCAGCAGCACTGGGAGAAACTGAGGCACTGGGTGGGGGCTGGCTGGTGGCCTCGCACACAGCGCGTGAGAATCGGATTAGGAGCAGCAGGAGCTGGGATAAGAGCATTAGGAGCTGGATTAGGAGACTACCCCCGTGCAGGAGAAGGCCCTGGGCCCACGGGTTCCCCTATTTCCACGGCACTGAGGGGCTGGGGAGCGCTCAAAACTCCTGCAAAAGGGTGGAAGGTGTCTCTGGAGGCTCTTCTATGGGAGAGAAGGGCAGAATATCACTCCTCGGTTTGCACCCAAGGATTTTGGATTGCTGCTTTTCCTGGGATTTGCCAGCAGCACTGCCACCACGTGGCCATCCTTAGGCTTCAGAGTCAACAGCGGTTTCATCTGCAAGGGATGATTCTGCTTTCTCTTGCTGGCAAATAGCCCCCCTGGGGAGTCTGGACTCCCTTTTTACCCACTCGGGATTGTGCTTGGAGATGCAGGACAGAGCTGACTGCCTGGAACTGAGCCGGGGCACCTCATCCCTCCCCTTCCCTGGCCTCGCAATGCCAAACTTGAGACAAACCAGGGAAAAAACAGGAGCAGGTTTTAATTTCAAAGCCGCCGGAAGGGATATTTAGTGCTTTATTTGTTAGTTAGTGGACGATGATTGATTTATTTTGCGGATTTACCGTGGGGAAAAAAAAGAAGAGTCCCGAAGAGTCCCCAGAGCTCAGCACATCGTCCCTGCCATGAGCCACCCTGCTCCCACCATCCAGACTGGGCTGGGACTGGTGTGGGGGTGTCCCTGCCCCTCCTCAGCGGCGCTTCTCTCCCCTCCAGGTGCCACGAGGGACATCGGCTCCGCGCTGACCCGCATGTGCATGAGGCACCGCAGCATCGAGGCCAAGCTCCGGCAGTTCACCAAGTAAGGGGGCCCAGGGCGGTGGTGACACGGCTTGGCTGCTGTCCCTTGCTGAGGGAGGGGGTGCTGGCTGTCAGCTGGGCCTGGGCTGGGGGGCACAGCTCCCCCACGCCCCTGCTCCGGCGTTCTCCCACGCTCTCCGCTTCTCTCTCTCTCCCTGCTCCAGCGCCCTCATGGAGAGCCTGATAAACCCTTTGCAGGACAGGATTGAGGACTGGAAGAAAACTGCCAACCAGCTGGACAAGGACCACGCGAAAGGTACGGGGAGGGACAGGGTGGATCCGTGCAGGGTGGCTGCACTGCTGGGGGGGGATCCCCTCTGACAGCACTTCTGTGCCCTCAGAGTACAAGCGAGCGCGCCACGAGATCAAGAAAAAATCCTCTGACACCCTCAAGCTCCAGAAAAAGGCTCGCAAAGGTGAGGGAGGGTCTCCTGGGGGGTGCCCCCCACCAGCCCCTCTGCAGCACGCCCAGCCACGGCGGGCACCCCGGCTGTGGCACTGCCAAACGGGGGGTGGGCACTGGGGGGGGTCCTGCTGCCCCCCTGTAGAAAGGGGGGTGCCAGCACGGCCCAGGGGGTGGTGGGGAGGCAGGGGCACGTGCCCCAGCCTTTGACCTCCTTTCACACGTTTTCTCTGTCTCCTTCTCTCTTCCCTCCCCTCCACATCCTTCCTGTAGAGCTACTTGGTAAGTGAACTGCTGCCCCCCACCACCGGCCCCCTCTCTGCTTCCTCATCTGCTCCCCCCCAGTCTCCCCAGCCTCTGTCTGTCTGTCCGTCCATCCATCCGCTCCCTGTGCCCCCTTCACCCTGCTTTTAGCTTAGCTCAGCTTGCACCCCGTGTCCTGGGGCAGTGCCAGCCCCGCCACAGTGGCAGCCCAAGGGGTCCCCTGGTCCCGAGTGCCAGGAATGGGGATGGAGTGATAGAGGAGCCCCCTGCCCAGGGCTGCTGTGGGGTGAAGGCACTCCTGGACCCTCCAGGGATATGGGCACAGTGGGGGACCTGTGGCAGCTGCTGGGATGTGAGGATGGGGTGATGTCCCCAAGCCAGAGCCGGGGGTGTGGCCTCGGCTTGGCCGTGGGAACCCCACCAGATTGGAGGGAGTGTCAGGGGAGCCCAGCACTGACAGTGTCCCATCTCACAGGGAAAGGGGACCTGCAGCCCCAGCTGGACAACGCCCTGCAGGACGTCAATGACATGTACCTGCTGCTGGAGGAGACGGAGAAGCAGGCGGTCCGCAAAGCCCTCATTGAAGAGCGGGGTCGCTTCTGCACCTTCATCACCTTCCTGCAGCCCGTGGTGGTGAGTGCCGGGGACCAGGGGGGCGTGGGGGTGGTTCCTGCTGCCCAGCCAGTGCTGATGCTCCCTCTTATCTGGCCTCAGAACGGGGAGCTCACCATGCTGGGAGAGATCACCCACCTGCAGGGCATCATCGAGGACCTGGTGGTGCTCACGGCTGAGCCCCACAAGCTGCCCCCCGCCAGCGAGCAGGTCAGTGGGGGTGGGCTGGGGGGCTCAGGGGAGAGGGGAGCGTCTTTGAGGGGACTTACACCCCATCCTTCCTGCAGGTGATCAAGGATCTGAAGGGCTCTGACTACAGCTGGTCCTACCAGACCCCTCCGTCCTCGCCCAGCAGCTCCAGCTCCCGCAAGTCCAGCATGTGCAGGTAGGGTGGGGTGGGCTCCACACCCAACCACGGCCAGGAAATCCAGTCCTCCTCGTTAACCCCAGAGGGCTAAGGACACTTACAGCCCTTGGGGATGCTCACAAGGTGCATGTCCACCTTCTCATGTTCACGTGGCCAACTGGTTCCCACTAATGTGGAGGAACTGGTCTTGGTGCACTGGGCAGGGCCGGTGGACCTCTGGGGCAGGATGGGTGCCCGGAACATGCCGTGTCATCTGGGGTTTGGGGACAATGTGAGCTGTGCAGGGGAACCTGTGGGCAAACACACCACCTTTATCCTGTCCCTCAGCCTGTTCCCTGCCGCAGGGGCACCCCGTGTGCCTCAGTTCCCCCAGGTCGGGGTGCGTGGCAGGGCACTGCCCGCCCTGCCACCTCCGAGCCTCTTGTCTCAAATTCTCTTTTCCTTCCTTTGTCCTCCCCGCCCGGCGTGTCCCCGTGCCCCCGGCGCCCCCCCAGCAGCGTTAGCAGTGCCAAGGGTGGCATGGCGTGGCCCGGCGGGGCTCAGACCTGCTCACCCAGTTCCACCTATCGCTACCGCAGCCTGGCGCAGCCCCCCGCCGCCGCCACCCGCCTCTCCAGCGTCTCCTCCCACGACTCCGGCTTCATCTCCCAGGACGCCGCTTACTCCAAACCGCCCTCCCCCATGCCCTCGGACATCACCAGCCAGGTACGGGGCGGGCCGTCAGTGCTGCCCACCTCTGCCTCAGCTTCCCCTTCTGGTGCTGGGTGCAGCACGAGGGTCCAGTGCAGGGGTGATGGGACCCATCCCCAGGAGTATTTCCAGCTGCTTTGGCGTCACGGGAGATAAATATCGGGAATATTGGGGGTGTCTGCCCTACTCGGGGGCATCACAGGCCACACTGCAGAGAAATCCCACCCACGACACCCCCCCTCGCCAGGGATGGGGCACAGATATCCCTCTCCCCATGCCAGGGGAATAGGGTATTTCCCACTGGGAGAACAGAGTGTTTCCCAATCACCCCAGCCCCATAATGCCCAGTTTGTGCCAGTCCCCCACCAGGCAGCATGAGCAAAGCTTCCCCTTCACTCTGCATCCTCCCCAGTGCCAAGGATGCTCCAGGATCCCTAGGGAGCTGCCATTCCGGCCTGCCCATGCTAACCTGGCACCACCAACCTGGCAAGGTCCCCACTGCCTAAAATGCCTGTTGTCTCTGCATAGCTTGGGGTGAGCAGGGGGGAGGGTTGGGGCGGAGCATCATCCCAGCTCAGTAGATCCCGCTGCCTCTCGCCATCCCGCATCCGCTGCCGGAGGGGAGGAGGGCTGGGGGCCTGGCACAGCCAGGGGAGCCATGGGTGCTTCTCTAACCGGGGCTGCAGCTCTGGCTTTGCTTCCTAATGGCCTCTTCTCTCCCCCTCTGGCTCTCGGCTCGGCCCCGTGGCACGGCACAGCAGAAGTCCTCCAGCTCGGCGTCCTCAGAGGCCTCCGAAACCTGCCAGTCAGTTAGCGAGTGCAGCTCCCCCACCTCGGTTAGTCCTTGCCATCCCACCGGGGTTGCGCTTCACACGTGGTTCTCCCTCCCTCACCTCGTGGGGTTCAGGCCCCAGATCCCCCCATCCCACCCCCCCACGGGGCAGAGCATCCCGAGCAGCACCCGTGGCTTGGTGGGGGACATCAGCACGTGCCCCCTCCTGCCCCACTCCCGGTCCCGGTGTCACCAGCGTCAACCTCAAGCCTTGCCCTTTGCAGGACTGGTCCAAGGCCAGCCCCTACGACCAGCCGGTGGTCCCCACCCTGCAGCGGCGCAAGGACCGCGTGGAGCACCTCCGGGAGGCCGAGATGGGCTCTCCTGCCGGGGGGTACCCGGGCATCGGCGGCGAGGATGCTCCCAGGCCCCGGATGTCACCGGCGACAATTGCTGCCAAGGTACCGCCTGCAGCGGGGAGAGCACTGAGGTGGGGGGTTCTTAGGGGGCTCCCAGAGAGAAACCAGGGTGCTGACAGTGCCCCTTGCCCCCACAGCACGGGGAGGAGGTGTCCCCTGCCGCCAGCGACCTGGCCATGGTCTTGACCCGGGGGCTGAGCTTGGAGCACCAGAAGAGCAGCCGGGACTCGCTGCAGTATTCCAGCGGCTACAGCACACAGACCACCACCCCCTCCTGCTCTGAGGACACCATCCCTTCCCAAGGTACCTCAGCTGGGGCCACCTGAAACAGCACCCAGAGTGGGGAAGGGGAGGTCCTGGAGCACATCTGCGTGCCCTGGGTGTCGTAACATCAGGCTGTGGTCCCATTGCACAGGGGCTGCTGGGGTGAAGATTTGATGTGTGTTGGGGATTTGGGGTGTGGCACAAGCTTCGTGCCACACGTAACCACGACCTTTTCTGATTATTTGGACGTTAGTTGGGGCTCGGTGGCTACAGTTGTGCCAGGCAGTGCTGTGACGGGCAGCCTTTTGGCAGGGTGTTGTTGGAGCTGGTTTGTGGTGATGTGTCTGTCTGCAGCAGTCGAGTACAGGTGGAAATGGTGACAGATGGTAGGTGGTGGCAGCAGAGCTGGCGGTTGGAGATCAAATAATGTTTGCAATCACCGTGTTGATTATATGATGATTACATCGTGTTTGTAATCATCGTGTCGGTGTGATGACGGCTGAGCCAGTGATGAGCACGTGATGGTGACAGTGGAGCTTGGCTGTGATCATGTTGTGATAGCGGTGATTGGGGTGGTTCTGATGGTGACGGTTGGGTTTGACTACAACCAGTGGCAACGGTGGGGGCTGGTTGTGTTCGTGTTGCAGTGGTGACAGTTGGGTCTGGCTGTGATTTCAGTGTGATGGGTTTGGGGTGGTTGTGGCTGTCCTGCAGTAGCGGTGGTTGGGGTGATCGTGGTTGGCCACGCTGACTGTGCTGCCCCCTCCCCAGGCTCCGACTACGACTGCTACTCGGTGAACGGCGACGTGGAGTGCGACCCCCAGAGCGACTTCGACAAGTCCTCCACCATCCCGCGCAACAGCAACATCGCCCAGAACTACCGGCGGATGATCCAGACCAAGCGTCCCGCCTCCACCGCCGGGCTGCCCACCGGCACCAACCTCCCGGCCGGCACCACCCCGGGGGTGGCCACCATCCGCCGCACGCCCTCCACCAAGCCCTCGGTCCGCCGCACCCTCTCCAACGCCGGCCCCATCCCCATCCGACCCCCCATTGTCCCCGTGAAGACCCCCACGGTGCCCGACTCCCCTGGCTACGCCGGCCCCACGCGGGTGGGCAGCGAAGAGTGCGTCTTCTACGCCGACGACGCCTCTCCGAACCCCCTGGATTTTGCCAAAGCTTCGCCCAAGCGGCTGAGCCTTCCCAACACCGCCTGGGGTGGCGGCGCCATGGAGATCTCCGTGTACCCCGGGGCCGGCCAGCACCTCTCCGCCGAGGAAGAGGAGGACCAACAGCTGGCCGCCAACAGGCACAGTTTGGTGGAGAAGATCGGCGAGCTGGTGGCCGGCGCCCACGCCCTGGGGGAAGGCCAGTTCCCCTTCCCCACCACCCTCGTGGGGTCCGGCCCCAGCGAGGAGACCCCCGCGCCCCCCCCGGCGGCCTCCATGGACCCCCCGGCCGAAGACATGCTGGTGGCCATCCGGCGCGGGGTGCGGCTGCGCAGGACCGTCACCAATGACAGGTCGGCCCCGCGGATATCGTGATGACGCCGCGGCCAGCGGGGACGGTGCCCGTGCCCGCCGCGGCCCATGGACCTCCCGGGGGCACCTCCCCGGGAACCCCCCACCCGCCGGCACCCGCTGCCCTGTCCCTCCCCGGAGGCCCCCCGCTCCCTGCCCCTGTCTCCTCCTGCCCTGCCCTCTTCCCTGTATCCTTCCTTCACTTGCTCTTTCTTTGGCCCTTTTTCTCCTCTTTTTCTTCCCCTTTTCTCCTTTACTTTTTTCTGCGCTTTTTTCTTTTTCTTTTTTTTTTTTTATTCTTCTCTTATTTATCTCTTTTTCTTCTCTTCTCTTATTTTCTTTTCTCCTTTTCTTTCTCTTATTTTCCTCTTTTTCTTCTCCTTTCTTTTTAACTCTTGTTCTTCTCCTTTCTTTTTAACTCTTGTTCTCCTCCTTTCTTCTTTCCTCTTTTTCCCCTTTCCTTTTCTGCTCTCTTCCCCGTGTTTTCTCTTTTCCTTCTCCCCTCCCTCACTCCCTCCCCTCTGTGTTCTGTCCCCCGGGCGCAGGCGGGTGGCCCCAGCCGCGGCAGGAGAGGACGGTGCCCGCAGGGCCGTGGCAGCAGCAGCAGCACCAGGAGTGGGGGGGCCTGGCTCAATCCTCCCCCCAGCTGCCTGCTTGGGGCCAGCACGGCTCAACCTCATTTCAGGGGGCAGAAGCAATGGGGAAGGGGGCACGGGGGGGGGGGATATATGAGAGGGTGGAGGGGCTGGGGGCACAGGCACTGCAGTCCCCTCTGCCTTGGGGGGACACCGCTGTGCAGTGGCTGAGGATGCTGAACCTCCTCTTTGCCCCCCCTCCCAGGGATCGCTGGGGATCCCTCCCAGCTCCCCCCCGAGCCCCCTCCCTCAGCCCCTGAAGCCCCTGTGCAGGGCCCTGCTCGGGGGATGGGTCCAGGGAACAGGAGGTTTCAGGCGGACGCCCGAAGTGAAGAAGCTGATTTCTGCCGGCGGCTGGAGGAAAGCACAACCCCCCGGCCCCCGCTGTACATAGCCCCCGCCCCCCCCCCCGCTGTCTGTCGCATCGCAGCCCCCCCAGCCCTCCCCTTAGGAATAACAATTTAGTTCTCCCCCTTTCCCCTTCTCCTGCCCAGAACCGCTGATGCCAAGTGACAAATGTTTGGGTTTGAGGGAGGGAGGGGGTCTCTTATTTTGTACAGAAAACAAAAATTCCTTGGAAAAGAAAAAAAAACTGACCTGTCTTTCGACTGAAGTAACTTTTCTGGTGCTGTTGTTAACTTGGTCCTTACTCTTTTTTTTTTTTAATTTATTTTACCCAATGTGCTCCCGCCTCTGCCGCCGCTTCCCCCCTCCCCGTCCCTCTGCCAAGTTTATTTCTCTTTCTTTCATTCCTTCTTTTCTTTTAAATTTTTTTTTCTGGTGGTAATTTCCCTCTTCCTACCCCGCCCCTTCCCCGTTTTCCATAGTCACTGCTACAAGTAACGAATGCACTGTGAAGATTCCAGTATTAATAAAGGTTGTACTGTAATTAATAGCCTCGCCTGCACTCCTGTGGATGTTCTGGTCCCCTGGGGTCACCCCAAAAATAGGGGACAGGTGGGAAGGTCCCCTCGCCCCTTTGGGGTGCCCGTGGCTGAAGGGAGTGGGTGTTTTGGGGTGTGGAGGGGTGAGACAGCCCCATGGTCGAGGTGATGGGTGAGCCAGGGTGCAGAAGAGCATCCTGCTGTCCCCTCCCCTCCAGGAGAGGGGGGGCACCACCCATCCCAGCAGCACCCGCGTTGCCACCTCCCGGATTACCGGGGCCGGTTGCCAAACCTTGCCGGAGCGGCACAGCCGGCGCGGTGAGCGGTGGGGATGGAGGGGCTCGGCGTGGGCAGCGTCCTGCTGACCGGCTGCGACGGGGGGCTGGGCCTGGCGCTGCTCAAGGGGCTGCTGGAGCAGCCCAGCCCACCTCGGCACCTCTTCGCCGCTTGCCTGGACCCCCAGGGGAAGGTAGGGAGGGCACTGGAGCAGGGGGAGGACAGGGAGAGGTCAGCTCTGGGGAGGGTGCCTGGGGATGCCACCATCCCACCTGGAACTGGGTGCTGAGCATCACCATCCTGCATGATGAATGGCATGGAAAAATACATACATATATATATATATATATATGAAACAAAAAAATGCGCATATATATATAAATATTTAAAATACCTATATATGTATTAAATATGTATGTGTGTGATTTTTCTGTCTCTCTTGGCGTAGAGATGTGCGTGATGGGGAGTGCAGGGGGGGGTTGCTGGCAGCCCCCCTGCCCGGGGCATCGCTGCCGGGAGCTTTGAAGCTGCCGCGCTCAGCCGGGGCAGAGGAGCAGTGACTCGCCCCAAATCGCTCCCACTGGATCTTGTTGAAACCTGCCGGCTGTGACATGCGGGGCCACCCTGTTCCCACCCCGCTGAGCCTTCCCACATGACCCCGTCCCCTCTGCCTTTCTCCATGTAGGCTGTCAACGAGGTGGCTTTGGGCTTTCCCAACGTCCTTGTCCTGCCTCTGGGTAAGTGCTGGGGCGGGAAGCGGATGAAGCCTCTCAAGTTTTAATTGCAGCCGTGGGCGGCTCCGGGAAATGCCACCAAGCAGGCGGGTCCCTCAATTTGGCTCAGCTGAACCAGGTCACTGATGGGACCGGGAGGATGCTCAGAGGCAGAGAGCTGCCTCCTGCCATGTCCTACGGCATCTTGCCAGGGATGTTGCCACCAGCCTGTCCCTGAGCCCTCCTGTCCCCTCGCAGACGTGACAGACCCCAACAGCATCAAGGCAGCAGTTGGGAAGGTGCAGGAAAAGGTGGGAGGTGCTGGGCTCAACCTCCTGATCAACAACGCCGGCACCACGCGCCGCAGCACGTTGGCCACTGAGACAGCAGAGAACATGAGCCTCGTGTACGCCACCAACACCATCGGGCCCCTGCAGACAAGCCAGGTGAGCCCATGGGCACCCCCTGCCCCAAATGCTGGGAATAGGGAGGAAGAGGATGGTGATGCCCAAGCTCCCATCCCCTGCAGGCCTTCCTGCCCCTGCTGAAGGAGGCGGCTGAGGCCGAAGGGCAGCGTGAGATGAGCTGCAGCAGAGCTGCCATCGTCAACATCTCCAGCATCCTGGGCTCCATCGAGGTGGCGGAGGCCTGGGAGGAGAGGCAGGACATCTGCTACCGCTGCAGCAAGGTACTGCCACCGGGAGGTTGGGGAGGAGTTTGGGGGTCACCTCCTGCAAGATTCCCCCCACCACGGGCCCTGGCATTGCCAGCTCCTGGTGGTAAGGGGGTGTGGGTTGTTGTTCTCCCAGGCTGCTCTGAACATGCTCACCAAGTGCCTGGCCCTGGAGTACGGGAGCAGCGGGATCCTCTGCGTGTCTGTGGACCCTGGCTGTGTGACACCTCCCTTGGAACAGGGGATGGTGAGTGATGGGAAGTGCTTGGCCATCCTAGCTCAGCAAAGTCCCACGGGCTTCCCTTCCTGTGGCATCCCTTCCCAGGGGCATCCCTTCCCAAGGCCATCCCTCCTCTGGGTCATCCCTTCCCAGGGAGCATCACTTCCCATGGACATTCCTTCCCACAGACATCCCTTCCCAGGGGCATCCCTTCCTGGGATATCCCTTCTCACAGTTATCCCTTCCCATGGGCATCTCTGCTCAGAGTCATCCCTTCCCAAAGACATCCCCTGTCAAATAAATCTCTTCCCAGAAGCATCCCTTCCCATGGACACCCTTTCCCAGGGGCACCCCTCCCTGGGACATCCCTTCCCATGGGCATCCCTTTCCTGGGCACTCACCCTTGTGCCCTTCAGTCCCAGGGTGGCTGCGCCACCACAGCAAAGGGCCAATTCCAGGCTCTCCCACAAAACCATCCAATTTCCTCCAGTTTTTTTATTTGCCTTTCTATTTCCTTTCCCATCCCGCTGGTGTGTCAGCAGAGGGCACCCCGGCCCTGCACTCGGCTGCCCCTTTACCCTGCACTGGCTGACAAAAGAGTCAATTTTTAATTAAGAACCAAAAAATTAACCTCCATCCTTACAGCAACAAGCCGGTTCGCTCAAAGCCACATCCCTTGCCTGCTAGAGCACCTCTGCCCTCCCAGACCACCCCAGCCAGAGCTGACATCCCACCACGCCACGGGACGGGAATGGGGGTGCTGGGATGGAGGGTCTTGGCTCATTTTTTCCCCCGCCCTTGGGTCCAGCAGGGCCCGGTGACAGTGGAGCAGAGTGTCCAGGGTGTCCTGCGGCTGCTGTCCCAGCTCTCGGCCACCAGCAACGGCACCTTCTGGGACTGGAGAGGGCAGAGGCTGCCCTGGTGAGAGCAGAGCCTGTCTGCCGAGCTTAATTAATTAAAGCTAATGAACTGCCATTTGCAGGCTCACTCTGGTTCTGTGGGGGGGAGAACAGGGATGCCCTGGCTGGGGGTGAGAGCTGGGGTCGCTGCCCCACTGCCTGGGATGCTGAGTTGGGCCAGAGCAGCAGAGAGAAGGGTGCTCCAAGTGTGCTCCTGTGTCCAGGGCATCCTTTGGGACTGAGGGAACTCCCTGGGCATCCTCACTCTAGGGCCATAAGCCACGCTGCTCGGTGGCCTGGGGACATCCCTGACAGTCCCCAAACTGCAGCCATGGGGCAGCCCCAGCACAGCCCAGCTCTCGCCCTGCTGAGCCTGCCCACCCCAAAACCAGCCAGCCTTTCCATGCCCACCCCAAGGATGCTGCCAGGCTCTTTTCCTGCTGGTTCTTCGTATTCCGGCAGCTGGGGATTTCGCAGGGGGAGATCTCCCTAGTCCCAGCACATCTCTAGGAATGTCTTTTGGGACCTGGACCCTCCCTAGCTCTTACCCCACCTCATGGTACACCAGGAAATAGTGCAAACAGGCTCCCACTCCCCCTCGCGTGAGTGGCTCTCAGCCGACATTTTTGAAGCCATCCCTCGAAAGAGGGACTGGAGGAAAATGTCGCAATATCTCCAGTGGGCTGGACACGCAGGCCTTTGGCAAGCCCCGAGCCCGGCCATTTGCTGCAGGGATGCTCTGGGAAGCTTGGCCGGGGTCATTTTGCTGGGACAGCTTCAATTTTCCCACGGTGGAGGAGGACGGAGGATCATTCCCACGCCTGACGTGAGGGAGTGGGAGGTGGGGGCTCAGCCCTGGGGGCTCAGGCAACCCCACGTGGGTCTCTGGACCACGTGGGGGGATCTTCGTTAAAGCCAGTGAGGATGGGAGAGGG